TTCGTTCGATCGTTCATTCATTCATTCATGCATTTAATCATTTCTTTACTCATTCGTACACTCATTTATGCACTCAGTCACTCATTCACTGGCATGAATCGAATTGAAACATTTAAATACTGCGGCTATTGAACTCATTGTTTATTCAGCTGGCCACGCAAATACATAAACCAACGCACGCACACTTCACACGCACACACCTACACCCACACACACACCTACACACACACCTACACACCCACACACACACAGACACCTACACACATAAACCAAAAAAAAAATAAATAAATATAAAGTGCAGATAAGCATAAAAATAAAAGAAGGAATATATTGCGAGAACAGAGGATTGAAAGATAGAAATATATGGAAAATGATAAAGAGAAAGATATTAGGAGTCAGTATTAAAAAATAAGAAAAAAAGAAAGATAAGAGAGAGAGAGAGTGAAAAAATAAAAGAGAGAGAAAAAAATTAAAAGAGAGAAAGAAAGAGAGAAATGAAAAGGCCATGAGAGAAAGATAAAAAAGACAAAATTTAATGAGAGGGTTAATTAAGATTGAAAAAGACAGTAAGTAAAAAAAGAAAAAGAAAAAAAGAGAGAAAAGAAAGCAGGATCGAGAAAAAGAGAGAGAGAGAGAGAGAGAGAGAGTAGGAGAAAAATACAAGCAGTGGTCAGCCTGAGATTACGAGTTCAATGTTTTGCAAGTTTGATCTGGGAATTTAATAAAATCTAATGATGATGGTGACGATGATGACGACGACGATAATGATGGTTAGTCAGATGAATTTTCGATGAATTCTAGATGAATTGAACTTGCTTGGTCTCCAAACCAGAATGTTGTTCGGAGCTTTTTTTTTGTTTGTGTTTTGTTCTGGTAAATAAAAAGTATTTTTGAAAAAAAAAATTTTCTTTAAGGGCATTCAAGCTGCAGGATCGTGCCACGGTGTGTCTTGTTGCAAAGAAGGCTTCATGCCCGTGTGGTTATTATGGAACACCAACGCACGACCATAAATCGTCGCCGGGCATGAAAGAAAAACTTTGTTAGAGCGAGTGTTTATATTTATCAAGCCCACAATCAACCAAGAAGATATGAATTCAAAGAAAAACCAACAAACTTATCATATAGCGTACGACTTCCAACACATTGCATTGTATATTATACACATTGTACTGTTTATATACATTGTTTGTATACATACAAAACACGTTGTATTGTATCTGTCCATTGTATTGTATAAATACAAGACACGTTGCATTGTATGTAAACGACAGTCAATTTCTTCAAAAAAACTCTTCATCCCTTTGGAGATTTAATGCTTTCCGAGTTCTGATAACGCCAAAAAATACCAGCAAACTCTATGCGTCGTGTGTGTTTTGTGTGCGTGTTGTGCGTGTGTTGTGTGCGTGTTGTGTGTATGTGTGTGTGTGTGTGCTCTTTCATAAATACAAATGCTTTCGGTGAAATATTCATGACCAAAAAAACTTGAAAAATGCAAAAAATTTTCCGAAAAGTAGATTAAAAAATTAAGCATTGAAAAAAACATCAAAAAAGATTAAAATTGGATAGGAAGCAAATGCCGGAAACTGGAAATGGAAAGAATGTAACATTGCTTTTTTCATGTAGCACTTTATTTTTGTTGTTCTTATTTTTCGTAATTAGCTCGAACTCGCAGACACACACGCAAGCATATCATCCAGACATATACAACACATATCTTCAGAAACCTACAACAACAATAATGATAATAATAATAATAACAACAACAAGAAACACAATAATGATAATATCATCATCATCATCACACACACAGGATTATTTGCAAGAAAAAAAAATCCCCTTTCCCCAAAAATGACAATTATATCATAACATGATATCTCAATTATAAAAGTCTGCATGTTGCGTGTGTGCGCGTGCGTGCGCGTGTGTGTGTGTATGTGCGTGTGTTTATGTGTGCGTGCGTGTGTGTGTGTGCCTTGAAGATCTAAGAATTATTGTTGACTGGAGATTTGTGGCGTTGGTCAATGGCATCCAACAACTAAGTAAAAAGCGTCGCTCCGCTACGTAAAAAAACTCAGGATCAGAAAACTCTTGAATGGCAGTGCGATTGAAGGATTGGTGCATGTGTTCATTTTATTGTGACTGCGTGTGTTATTGTTTGCCAGGTATGGTATACCCTGCTAGGTGGTTGCAGCTCATTCTGAGTTGTGCAGCTAAAATTGTTCACGGAGCGTATTCGCATTCACACACAGCATACAGATAAGAACAGACAAAACATTCAATACAACATAAATACGAAATAGTTATACAAAAGATACAACACGACTCTCAAATACCCACACAGAATGT